CGCTCGGCGTCGCTCGGCGGCGCTCGGCGGCGCTCGGGGTCGCTCGGCGTCGCTCGGCGTCGCTCGGCGGGCTCGGCGTCACACGGCGTCGCTCGGCGCGAAGGATTTCACGACCATCCTTCCGACACTCTCCCAGATTCGAAAAAGTGGGCTAGGGCCTTCGGTTTTGGGAATGCCATGTCTTAAACCCGAAGCCCTAAAACCTACAGCCCCAAACCTTCGACCTCACCTGTGAGCATAGTTCTCTGCCATGCGAGAGGGAAAAAATCTTCAGCCGAACGTCCGCATCCATCAGATGTGGGGGTTTCGGAAAATAGGGGACCCTAATATAGTACCTTAATTAATAGGATCCCTATTATAAGGACCCCAAAATAAGGTACCCCTAATTTTTTGAAACTCCCATGTGTCTCTGTCTTCGCGCCCTGGGGGGGGCGCGGTCGGTTGGGTAGTTCTAGGGGCCTCCAAAAGGACGTAAGCATAAGCATGTTGCAAGGATTTCACTACGTTATTGGGCTTCATTACAAGGGGATTCCTAGGAATCTTGTGTTTTGCGTATGTGTTTTGTTTTCCGTCGTAAACCTTTTTTTTTCCCGTGGTAAGCTTTCAGTACGGATGCAAAAAGAACGACTTAGGCTGCTGTCGGCTGTGTCGGCTGCAGGTTAAGGGTTGGATTTAGGGTTCAAGGGTCGATAGGGCTTGGGTTGGGGGTGTTTAGGGGAGTAGGCTTCAGGGTTTATGATTTAAGGTTTTGTTCAAGCTTTAGCCTGGGATTAAGATTTAGGGTTTTGTTCAAGCTTTAGTCCGGGATTGAGATTTAGGGTTCCCTAAACCCTAAACCCTAAACCCCTAAACCCGAAATCCTTTGGAGTTTTGGGCTTAAGCCCGAAAGCCTGGGCTGTGTAGTGGGATGATAGCCGAGCGGCGTTGGACTAAGAAAGGGTCTTTTTGAGCGTGCTTTAGCAGGGCAGCCATGGCGAAATGACGGATTAGGATTTAGGGTTTAGGGTTTAAGGGGTTTAGGGTTTAGGGTTATGGCGAAATGACGATAATCCTTATAGTAACTCTTAGAGTAACCTTGATGGTAACCTTAAAGTAACCCTTCTTGGCCAACCCTTCCTAGCCCTTCTACCATAGATCCCGAAGCTTGGATTTGGGAATAAATCTATAAACCTTAAACCCTAAACCCTACACCCTAAACTACACCCTAAGCCTAAACCTTAAACCCGAAACCCTAAGCCCTAAACCTTAAACCCTACCTAAACCTTCATCCTGGACGTGGGCCAGAAACCCGACGCTACTAAGGAAGAAGGAGAAAGCCAAGGCCAAAGCGCGGCGCAAGAGGGTGCGCCGGCAACAGGGCTTGTCGTTACTTGGAGGATCTTGGGACTTAGTAAGTAGGGTTATAAGTACCTTATTTGGGGTTATAAGTATAGTTACCTTGTTTATAGCCTCAGTTACTAAGTCCCATGATCGTGTAAGTAGGATTGGCTGGGTGCGGCTTTCCTGCGGTATCCGATTGCTGTAGCCCCAAAGCGCACAGGCAGGTGCATCGTTTCAGTGTTGGAATTCCCCAAGGCAAATGTATATAGGCCATACTTGTGTGATGCTCGCGATGATGCCGAGTTTGTTGCTGTCGGTGCTTCCGCTTCCGTGGAAGTGATTCAGTGATGTTGACGATATCGATGAGAAGGAGGAAGAGGAGCAGGAGCAGGATTGCGACGACGAAGACGGTGGCGATGAGAATTTCAGTGACACTCCTGGATGATTCTGTATTGAGACTGTTATCGTTGTCTTTGTTCGCTTGAGGAGGACGTCAGCCAAAACCTGTAGTATTGCTGCCATCATCCTCAACACCGACAGTGCTCATCCCGCTAAACCCAAAACCCCTATCCTTGCCTACGCAAAGTCCAAGGAAGGCCTTACGATGGACTGTAGTTCGAACCTGCAGCGTCATCAGGTTCTCAGATCAAGTACTTGGGCGCCATGTAGCGTAATAACGGGGCCCAGCCGTAAGGCCGAACAAGTGATGGTTGTTGGGCAAATTTGACTCTTATTACCTGCCGTGTGCTGCCTGCAGAAGCCCACCTCGCCCACGCTTGCACTGAAACCTTTTTCCAACCTCAGGTTTGAGGGCCTCCCGTGCAGAGTCTACAATCTAAAGGGCACTCTGAGGTTTGTCTAATGGGTTCGAACATGTCTAGATCCTGAGCAACATCCTGTCAACGCCGAAGTTCCTGCAACTCCAGTGTTGGTAAGTACCCTACAATCGTTAATCCCTTTGGATTCGACAAGCCTCAATGTTAACTCTTTGTTTCCCTTAGGAAGCCCGATGCCCTATGTAATATAGGGGCCTAAACGATTGCAAATACTATTTTGGGGGTTCCTTACTATAAGTATAGTATAAGATACCCGAAACCCTATTCTAATTATTCAGGCCCCTACATCACCCCTCGCGCTTCTTAATCATTACAACAGTTGGTCAGGACTCTATACGAAGCACGATTTCATAGAGACTGATCAAACTCTGTTCAAACACAATAAGGCCCTCCTACAATTCAGCGCTTGTGAACTGAACCCCGTAAAAGTGAAACCTGTGCCGAAAGCACCCGATTCCGGGGGGTGCAGACCCGATTCCGGGGGGTGCAGTCTGAAAGCGACGGCAGCGACAACATTGACCTCTTCGGTGGCGGCGAGCAGAACGAGGCCACATGGGTTTAGGGTTTGGGGTTGCCCCACTGGGGTCTTTTTGCAGCCCAACTCTTTGGGAATATAGGTAGGTTTAAGTACGTAAGTGTGCAATTGGGGTTTCAGGGAGACCAGTAATAGCCCTAAACCCCTAAACCCCAAAGCCCCTAAACCCTAGTTGAGCCCCTCAACCCTTCGCCCGATGCCTCGATGCTATTGGAGCTGAGACCCTCTCCAACAGTAAACGCTTAACCTACAATCCCAAAGCCCTAAGCCCGACATCCTAAACCGTTTTAGGGTTTAGGGTTTAGGGGCCTAAACCTTATGCAGAGACCCAACAGCAGCCCTTATATCAACGTCGAATCCTTATGGTAACCCGAAAAGCAAACCGCTCCCTTCAAGCAACTCTTTCAAGGGCTCTCCCCACGAGCCGGAGGAGCAGCACGTCCCTAAGCCAAACCCTAAACCCCAAGCAAAAGCCCCTAAACCCCAAGCCGAAAGCCGTAAACGTTGAATCCAGGAAACCCTAAACCCTAAACCGCTCTAAACCCTAAACCCTAAACCGTACAGGAGCCGGAAGAGCAGGAAGCAGCGGAGGAGCAAGAGCAGCCAGAGAAGGAGCAGAAGAAAGGCAGGGTCACCCCAGAGCCACGGTTTAAGAGTTTCGTGTAGGGGCCTTAATAATTAGAATAGGGTTTGGGGCCCATTATACTATAATGTGGTGATCTAAGGGTTTAGGGTTTAGGGTTTAATGCAAGGGCCTTAATAGTTAGAAAAAGGTTCTGGAGCCCATTATATTATAATTATAATAAGGAAACAGTACTGGCAATTGTTTAGGCCCTCATTATAAGGGTTTAGGGTTGAATATAGGGGCCTTAATGATTAGAATAGGGCTCCAAATATACTATAATTAGAATAAGGAACCCCCAAAATAGTATTGGTAATTGTTTAGGCCCCTACATTAGAGTTCAGGGCTTAGAGTTCAGGGTTTAGGGCTTGGGGACCCTCAACTTTGCGGTTCCGAACAGGGGTGTCTTGAAAGGGATTCTTTATGGGTTTAGGGTTTAAGGCTTCCTTTAGTATGGCTACAGCACCTGAACCCTGAACCCAATACCCTAAATCCTGAACCCTGAACCCTATACCCAGATGCGGGACCCTAAACCCGAGAAGGTGCTTTTTGGGGGGGTCTCCATGCGTTAAACCCCCTAAACCCTGAACCCTTCCCCAGGTCCCTAAACCCTAAACCCAAAGCCCCTAAAGCGTAAACCCTAAACCCTAAACTTAATCCCTAAACCCTAAACCCTAAACCCTAAAACCCTAAACCCTAATCCCCTAATCCCTAAGCCCTAAACCCTAAACCTAAAGCCCTAAAACCCTAATCCCTAATCCCCTAATCCCTAAGCCCTAAACCCTAAAACCCTAAGCCCTAATCCCTATAATCCCCTAATCCCTAAGCCCTAAACCCTAAACCCTAAAACCCTATCCCTAATCCCCTAATCCCTAGGCCCTAAACCCTAAACCCTATAGGTTCTACAAACTCTAAACCCTAAACCCTAAAACCCTAATCCCTGATCCCCTAATCCCTAAACGCCAAGCAGGCTGGGACCTGGCAAAGCCCTACGGCGATCGCTGGCAGGAGGGCGATGCCCAGCCGCATTGCAGGGTTTTAGCGGCCTTAAGGGTCTACGGGGGTCTGGGGTTTAGGGTTTAGGGGCCTGGAAAGGGTTCAGGGTTGCAGGTCTAGGGATTTAGGATTTAGGGTTTAGGGTTTTTTAGGGCTTTGGGCTTACCTGGACCCTGAAAAACCCTAGCGTTTTTGAAGGACATATAGAAGGACATCAGAATAAGGAGCCCTAGAAGGGTAGGTGATTTGGTTAAGGTAGGGTTCAGGCGAGATCTCGGCCTGAAATCCATGCACCCAGAACTAGGAACCTCGAAGAAGCGGAGCCAAACGCCATTCCCGGCTAAGGTTTAGGGGTTTAGGGTTTAGGGGGTTTTGTGTTCCTAAACCCTAAACCCTAAACCCTAAACCGTCGTAGCAGGCAGTTGCAACAGGGCTGAGGGCCTAGGGCTCTAGGGTTTTGGCCCATTTCGAGCCTCACGTAGTCCGACGCTTCGTAAAGGGGGCTTGTACAATTCGATGACGGTATAAAATGCCCAATACCCGATTCTGACTTATGAGGCTGCTCAAAAGCCGAGAGCCTTGAAGCCTGAAGCCTAAAGCCCTGAACCTTCTACGTACGGGTTCAGGGTTCAGACGCTGTCGAGAGAGTCTCAGAGGTGCAAACTTCAGCTTACCATACCGACTGAAATCCTTGGGTATGAGGCTGTGACCCTAAACCCGAAACCCTAAAGCCCTAAAACCCTGAAGCCCTAAACCCGAAACTCTAAACTCTAAACCCTAAACCCTAAAACCCTAAAGCCCTAAACCCGAAACTCTAAACTCTAAAACCCTAAAGCCCCAAACCGTGGCTCTTTTTGGGTTCGACTTGCCCCTTTCAGCCACTTGACGGGGCCCAACAAAACGAGCGCCGTGTCCTGAAGCCTCGCCACAGCTCCCCATTAGGCCCTTAGGCTTTAGGGTTGGGTTTAGGGTTTAGGCTTTAGGCTTTAGGGTTGGGTTTAGGGTTTCTAGGGTTCAGGTTTTAAAATTTAGGGTTTAGGGTTGACGGCCCATTTTGGCCTAGGTCTGTTGGTGTGTTTATATGTACATGTGTGGGGTTTAGGGTTTAGGGCCCATGTTGGCCCATGCTTATCTACGTGTTTGGTGTTTAGGCTTTAGGGTCCATTTTGGCCTAGGTCTGTTGGTGTGTTTTGTATTACTGTATGTACGTGTGTGGAGTTTAGGGTTTAGGGCCCATTTTTGCCTATGTTTATGTACATGTTTGGGGTTTAGGTTCCATTTTCGCCTAGGTCTGTTGGTGCGTTTGTTTACACTTAGGGGCTGAGTAGGTAACCTTTGACCTATTGGGGCTTATATAATCCTAGTCTAACTCAAAAGGTTATCCTTTATTGGGCTAGGGTACTCAGCCCCTAAGTACATGTTTGGGGCAAAAGTTGTACCAAGATCCCTCGACTGAAGGAGCTCCTCCAAAGCTCTCAAGGAAAGTGGTTTGGGATCAGAAGAATCTCGAAAGAGCCACGAAAGCTCCTAATCCTTCAGGAGAAATCTGAACTGGAAATTTGGAGCCAAAGCCTCGTGCCCTGCCAAGCTCTCCAAAACGGTTGTGCAGAAGTGGTTTAGAGTGTCGGCTAGAAGCGGCTTCACCTGTTTGTTTCAGGGTTTGGGGCTGTCGGTTTGGGGTCTCCGGGGCTTTCAACTCATTGCGGTGCGACCCCGCAACTCCTAAACAGCCACAGATACAGTATGACACAGCACCCAAATGAGGTGGTCTGTGTAAATCAAGGTAGAGCATGGAAGAGCTGAAATTAAGATATAGGCGTCGGAATAACTAGTAATGGTGTTCCCGTATGGTCCCTGCCTCATAAAGCCCTATTCAAATGATGAAGGCCCCTATATGGGTAGTTCTCTAAGTCAGGGTCCCTTGTTTAGGTCCCCAATATAGTACGGCACCCTTATAAAAAGGACCCCAAAAGGGACTCTAATTTAGAAAACTACCTATATTCGCTCAGGATGTCATCTGCTGCCAAGTGATGAGCCTCGGACCATGTTCGATCTTCATTGCATCCCAGGGTTGGTTGGGGGCTGCGATCTGCACCCCGAGTTCTTTCTGTCACCTAGGCAAATAAAAGAACAACACAAGCCTCAGTCACGAAGTTGAAAAGACACGCTGTGATTTAATTCGCACAGTGGCAGCAGACAACAGTCAGTAGGACCAGTCATCAGCAGCGCCGTCGCAGCTGTCGTCCAGGATTGTCAATCTCGCTTTTGAGACTATTACTATTACCAACACCACCACCACCAGCACCACCACCACCACCACCACCACCACCACCACCACCAAAGTTGCTGCTATACTACTATTATTATTACGACTCCTACCACCACTACTGCCACTACTGCTGTCGCTGCTGCTCCTAATGCTGCTGCTCTTGCTCCTGATGACCTCCTGCTGTTCCGTTGCTGCTGCTCCTCCTCCGACGACGACTACTACTACCAATACTATTATTACTACTGCTGCTGCTACTACTACTACTACTACTGCTACTACTACTACAGTGCTGTCGACGACGTGCCAGGTAGGTGACAAAAACTACTACTACTACTACTACTACTACTGCTACTACTGCTACTACTACAGTGCTGTCGACGACGTGCCAGGTGGGTGACAAAAACTACTACTACTACTACTACTACTACTACGACGACTACTACTACTACTACTACTGCTGCTACTACTACTACTACTACTACTACTACTACTGCTGCTACTGCTACTGCTACTGTTGCTAGCATTTGCACGCTCGTGTGGTCCATGTTTTACCAAGTGTAAGTACAGACCCAGAATTGCTGCGACTGATATCGCACGATTATTGGGAAACTCTTCCGTGTCAAAACTCCGTGCCTTCTTTTTGTTGCTTTTGTTGCCGTGCGATCCCAGCACCTGGCAGCGCGAGGAAGTAGCAGAAAACCAACAACAGAGTTGTGAATGAAGCTCCCGCTGCCCACTGCTGAAAATATTCTTCCGAAGCTTTGCAGCCAAAAGCTCAGAACACCTTGAGCCAAAACCCATGGAATCAACTCGCAGCCCTTTGCCGAAAGGATGCCGGGCGGGGTTATTGCGTTCGGCCTCAACGGCGATTTCCAGGCCACCACCGCTTGGAGCAGTGTTTGCCCAGTCTGGCACATAGGCGAGCAAGCATTTGAGGCAGAAACGAGGCTAGCCCTAGCCTTGAAGAGTTTGGGCTTCAATGCTAGTTAAAATTGATATGGGAGCCTTGAAAATGTGAAAAAGGTTTTGGGGGTATATAATACTCTAATAATAGTAAGGAACCCCCAAAACCCTATTCTAATTATTAAGGCCCCTAGATTAAGTTTCTGGTGGACTGATGATGCCACAGAGCACGCTGGACTTCTTGTTGTTGGGGCCGCACAGGCGCAATGCTCAACCAGGATGTAAGCCCGCCGCGCCCGAAAGAGAGAGAGCGAGAGAGATCGATCGTTGAAGCGCTTTGTCTCGGATGTGCTGCTTTGTAGTTCCTCAGCCCTTTAAACCCTAAACCCTAAACCCTAAACCCTAAACCCCAAAACCCTAAACCCTAAACCCTATAATCTCAGCTCAAACCTCAAAGCTCCTGGAAAAAAAGGCCTCGAAGCCCTGAACTCTTAGTGTCAGAGACCCCAATACTTTTCAGCCAATAAACGCGGCCTAAAACAGATGCTGAGTCGTCGTTATAATATTGGAATATATATATATATATATATATTATGAAGATGTATATACTTTGTTTAAAAAGAGGCATATTTAGGTGTGTTGGGCTCTTGGCATCCTTGTAGACTACAACAGCAAACTCGCACCAAAAATAGCCTTCGAAGCATCCCCGAAAGTTATCACAAAGAAATCGAAAACCCACACCGCTTCTATGAAAGACTTATGACCGAATCTTGTTTCGGACTTGACGGAAGCTTTAGCGCACGTTTTTTCTGCAAATGGAGCTGCCAGTGCAGACGTCAGGCACCTATGGGAGTGGCCTTCGACCTGAACTTACCGAAGGGTACGCAGCTTCCTGCCCCCTTATAAGGGTTCTCTGTAAGGGTTCCTTTCAGGGTTCCCTTTAGGGATGCCTTTAGGGTTTACAAGGTAGCCGGAGAGACCTACCTTTTCAGGGTTCCTTCTTAGGGCTTTATGTATCACTCCTCTAAAAGGGTAGGTCTTTTCGGTTGCAGGTAGAACTTAGGCAGGGCTTCTGTCATTCCTGAGGGATCACGTAGGCTTTGACTGTTTAGGGCTTCGGGCTTGGGCGCCGGCGGCCGGTTTGACTTGTCTGGCTTCTTTGGGTGCTGATGTGTGATTGCAATAAGGCCGTACGTGTGAAGCACGGGCTGTGCGTGTGAAGAGCAAGTCTTGTCTTGCGGTTGCTGCCTCGCCACTGGCTCAAAAAAGTTAGCGGTTTACGGGGGTTCACAATCCCTGAATAAAAGGCCCGGAAGTGTAAGCAATAGCTTTTAATTTCTCCGGGCCCTGCATAATTAATTACCCACGCAGCAATAATTATTTGCTATTAGAGCGGCTTTATGTTCAGGGGATGATGCTTATAGGTACTAGGCATTGGCTTTAGCTTACTTCAATAAGGGTCCGCCTTTAAACGCGTCAAGAGTCAAGACACTGCCTCCACAATTTCAGCCGCGGGACCGAATGTACGAGGTTTCATATTCAATCCCAAAGATGCATAGATAATTGGAGAGTTCCAACCCATATAAACACTGTAAGTCCTTTGCTACTGGGGCGGGCCTCCTTTGATTCTCATTGTTGTTAGTGCTTCGACCTTGCAATCTGAATGTCGGAACTGCATTCCGAAATCCCTCTTCAAATCCGAAACCTCAGGCGCCAAACACCCCAAAACAAAAGAACAAACACACCAACAACACAGGCAGAGCCAGACCCCCGTTCCTTCCCCCAAACAACCGAAATCTAGGACATTTTGAGGTGGGTAGTAACCGTCATAGGAGCCTTACCCCACTTGTAGTAACCCAAACAACCAAAACAGCCGAATTCCGTGGCTGCGCCGAGGCTCTGTCTAGTCGCAGCGGCTGGTGAGAATGGGCGGCTTCGAGTTAACCTCGGCGCCCTGGCCCTCTTTGGGCTTACGGTTAAGCGGAAACCCTAAACCCTAAACCCCTAAAACCTAAACCCTAAACCCTAAACCCTAAAACCCCAGACCCTAAAACCCTAAACCCTACAGCCCTAAACCCTAAGCCCCAAAAACTTAAACCCTAAACCCTAAACCCTATAGGTTCTATAGGAAGGAGCCCTCATGGGCTAAAGGGTTGCTTTTTAGGGGCGATGGAAGCCTTCGACTGGGGCTCCAAAGGGGGATGTGTAATATAGGGGCTTAAATAATTACCTATACTATTTTACTATTTTGGGGGTTCCTTATTTTTTTCTTGTATAATGGGACCCAAAACCCTATTCTATTTATTAAGGCCCCTACATTAGGGTTTAGCGGTTTAGCGGTGATTTCTTTCGAGGTGGTCCTTTCTTGTCGGCCTGCAGGGGTTTTACAGGGACTGCTGCAAGTGTTGTAGTTGAACGGTTTAGGGTTTCGGGTTTTCGAAGGTGTAGTATGAGTTGTGTTCGGGTGTGTGGATCTACGCAACTCGCCCAAAAGGCCCTCACTGTCTACTAAGCCCGACGCTGTGGCACATCTAGCGCTATGATTCCAGGGTGCTGGGGTGAGCGCGTGACCTTCAAATTCCTTTGGTGCCATGACAGTTCTAGATCCTTAGCCTAAACCCTATAAACCCGAGAAGACTTAACCAAAGTCCCAGCTTCTAGAAAAACACATCCTCACACCTCCGAGCCATTCAGAAACCCTCAACCCTGAACCCCAAACCCTGAATACGGATTCAGGTTTGGATCCCTTATACGGAAGTCTCAGAAAGGAACCCTCGTATAGGCTCATAAACACTCAAATGAATAGTAGGTTCCTCCATGTGCAAACCTATACTACACCCCCCCAAGAGCAGAAAAGGAGTTTCGAAACTTGGAGCAAACTAAACCCTAAACCCTAAACCCTAAAATCGTTTTTCCAAGAGGAAGCGCAGCAATTTGGAAGGCTGGGAGTTCGAGGTTTTAGGGTTTAGGCAGAGAGAGAGAGAGAGGGTTCAGGACTTACAGGGTGCAGGGTTTCAGGCTTCAAGCTCTTAGGGTTGAGGGCTTCAGGGTTTGGTTTGGGGAGCGAATGTGTGGGGCTAGCCGGGCGGCGAAGGCCCGATACGCGATTTTGTGGTTTGAGTTTCCCGCTTTGCCCCTTCAGGGTTCTATCTTAGAATTCCCTTGTAGGGTGCCTTGAATACCGAAGCCTAGGCTTCCTTTTTTGGTGCGTAGGGCTTTGGGATTTCGGGAGAACTCCTCAGACGGAGCGTCGGCTTCTTGAATCCTCTGCTCGGCAGCAAGAGAGCCCTTATGTTAAAGAGATGTCAATGAACGTTTTCTGGGAACCCTTGTGTATAGAAGCCCCTATCGGAAGCCTGAAAGGAGCCTTGATATGCTTCTTGCATTCCCTGAATCCCCTTATTCCCTACACCCCGCCCTAAACCCTAAACCCTAAAAGCTCGACCCGCCCCTCGCCCAAGGCACGGTGGCCTTCGCTTTCCCACCGCCTAACAAGCTGGATGCATTGCTTCCGGACCTTGATGAGGAGGAGGAGGAGGAGGACCACTAGGTAGTATTATTAGGGGTACCCCTTAAAGGGTACCCCTTCTCTCTTAAAAGGGACCTTATTGGGAGGGTCTATATCCCCAAGGGTCCCCCCTATCCTAGCTCCCAACCCCAAACAAATGGGTTTAGGCAGTTCGGGCAGCAGTCGAGTCCCTTGTGAAAAGGATGTAGGGTGTAAGGGGGTTAGAGTCAATGTACACCCCTGACTGTAAATCGCATGCAGCAGTCACGCATACATACCCTGCCAGGAGTACGCAAGCTCGTTGGGTTTGACTCCTGTTAAAGGCATAGGCGTCTCCGCAAATAGTTTGTAATTTATGTACTTACGAAGTTATATGGGGCTTTTCGACATAGTACCCCAAATAGTAGGATCCTTCTTATAAGGAACCCAAAATAAGGTACCCCTTCTTTTCGGAAACTCCCACATGCCTACATTGAGTGTACATCAGGGTAAGAAGGGCCCCCTCGAAAAGCCGTGATATGTGGCCAGGAGCCTGCTAAAGCCAAGGAGGAAGGAGGCAGGCAGAAGCTCAGTCCCTCAACCCTAAACCGTGAACCCTAACCAAAAAAAACCTAAACCCTAACCTTACATGGTTTTACACGGTTTGCTAGAGTCCTTTCAGGTCTTTCTTGGGTTTTTAAATCTTGAAATTTGGCTTGACTTGTGTTTCCGCTTGGGTGTTGGGGAACGACGGCCTCAAACCCAAAGCCGCTTCTACCGAAGATCCCGAGCCCTAAGCCCAGAAGACCGGGTTTAGGGATTTAGGGTTTAGGGTTTAGGGAACTAACCAATAAAAAAAGACCAGAGAAGGCTAGACGCTTAACCTTAACCCCAAGACTCTTAAGCTCTAAGCATATCTAAACCCGATGCTAACACTCAGAAAAATCTTACATCCATCCACAAAGCCTTGATTCCCTACTTGGAGGCCCGGGGGACTTA